TCGCGGGTGAGGGGGAGGGCCGAGGGGTCATGGGAGAGAGAAGAGTGGCGACGCAGCAGGCTGGGGGCGCATGAAGAGGCTGAGCAGAGGGCAGCAAACCGCAGATGCTTACCTTCTCCTCCCTCAGGACCTCGTGGGCAACGGGGCCTTGGTCAGCATTGCTAACAAGTATGGTGAGACGCCCATTGACAAAGCCAAGACGCCACTGCGAGAGGTCTTGAAAGGTAGGAGGTTCTTGTCCCAACCCCCCGGCCTGCCTCTGGCTCCTGCTGCAGCCCCTGCGCTCAGCGTCAGCGACCTCTCTGCCTGTGCTGCCAACTCCTTGTCCCTCTGCAGAGCGTGCGGAGAAGCTGGGCCAGAGCCTCACCAAGATCCCCTACAAGGACACCTTCTGGAAGGGCACAACCCGCACGCGTCCCAGTAAGGACAGCGCCTTCCCTGCTGGGGGTGCTGGTGCAGGGGAGAGCACGGCTGTCCTGCGCAGCTGGGCAGGCTCGTGGGGACGGGTGGAATCTGCACTGTGAACGGCTCAGTTTGGAGGTGGAAGTCCCCTCGCTGGAGGTGGTTTCTCATGGGAGTGGGGGTGAGGCACGCCCCTGGTACTGCCTCCCTCTGCGGTCCCAGGTGGACGTCAGGGGGAAGGTCCCTGCAGCCACAGGCTGCATCTCCTCCTTTTCCTACAGGAAATGGGACTCTCAACAAACTTGCTGGAATAGACTTCAAACAGCTGAGCTTGAGCCAAAAACTCAATGAGAACCAGTCAGGAGAGGTACGTAGGCCGCCCTGGGACGGGGGGCGGCACCCACGCAGACCACTGTTCTCTCCCCATCCCCTGGCTGGCTGCGGGGTGCAGAACTGGGGCACAGCTGCTTTGTGGGTTTCCATGTCCAGGCGCGGGGCCGGCCTACACAGAGAGAAGGCGCCTGCCCGGGACGGAAGGGCCCTGCTTCGCTCTCGTGGTTTATCGGCCACGCCGCGATGCTGCGCACCTGTCAGTCCCGTGGGCCCCACGGAAGGTTCTTCTGCGCAGGGCTGGGAGGTGCTCGGGGACCGCGCGTCCCTCTCACAGTGACTGTCTCCACCTGTCTCCCTGCAGTTGTGGAAAGGGCGCTGGCAAGGCAACGACATTGTCATCAAAATGCTGAAAATCCGGGACTG